GTCTAAAAGGATGTAAGAATTATAAAATGTGTCTTAACCTTGAAGCACAATCAATGCTAGTATACACTGGACTGTTCTGATTCATGAAATTCTAAAATTGTGGTTCTCAAAGTTTAATATACATAAGAGCCATGCTGGCAACAATGTCATTTTCCCAAACCTGTTCCAATTCAGTGAATGGGCCCAAGATTCTCTGTTTTCACTAAGTTCCCAGGTGATTCTAATGTGAGTGGTCTGCTGATCATACTGTAAAGAAAAAATGATCAAGAAAAATAAAAATGAAGGCTATCAGTAAGGGGACATGAGCATGTTCTCCAAACCTTCAACAATGTTGTATGGAGAGTAACGGAAGAAATTGGGATACTCACACTGTAAAAGAAAAGCCTCATAAGGGACATATCACTGAAATATACAGAAAGGTCATTTCAATAAAAAAGATGTAGCTTGGTTTTCTCTTGCTCAAGACAGAACTACAGCCATTAGTAGAAGTCATAGCGATGGAGACATCAACTCAATATAAAGAAGACTTTTAATCTCTAGAGCTGCCTAACCATTGAGCAGACTCATCAAGTAGTAATATTCTCTTATTGCAGGAATAGAAGTGGGGATTAGCGATCCCTACAGCTCCTGTTAAACCTGTGCACAACTCCAGTGATGTCCACTGTGCTGTGACTATTTGCTTATGAGTCTCTTTCCTTGGCTGTGAGCTCATTCTATTCTCATGTTGGATGCTCAGTACACAGTTACCGTGAATTTAAGCTCAGAACCTAATAAATCAAGTTCCAGTATCTGCAAACCTGGACTTCTGATGAGTTTCCTGTAACTTCAAAAGAAAATCTGGAATTTATAGCAATCTCCTCTGGGTTCAGAGTGAACCCTTACTAAGCCTCTGCTCTTCTCCTTCAGGAAAGTTTTAAAATTTCCTTCAATGAAGGTCTCACATCTTTCTTTTACATTTTCAAGTAACTTGATTGCTTCTGTGGATGGTAGTGTCTTTCCTAATTCTCATTCTAGTTGGTTATTTCTGGAATGTAGTCTAGTATCTAACAACGTCTGGGCTTCCTTGTGAAATATCTCAGTTTTCACAGTTTACAGAGGATTTTACTGGTAGATGATCACATATTTTTAAAATAACGGTAAATTTACTCCTTTTCCCCAATTTTTATACCTCATATTTCTTCTTTTCTGTCATTTGGATTTTGCACGTACAATGTTGAACAGTACAGGGGACAAGGCATCCTTGTCTTATTTCCAACTTGATTAGAAGCACAACCAATGTTTCCTCATTAGGTTATCTCCACTCTTCTCTGCATTATGCTTTATGTGCGTTTCCTAGAATGGGTAAAGTGACTCCTATATGACAAGACAGAGATTGGTGGATGAGGAAAACAGCTGTAGGGCCATGTTAAGCATGTGACAAATAGAGAGAACCTGGCTCCAAATTCACTAAGGATCAGTACACACACAAGATGAACCTCTTAGAATCCACTGCCCAGATGCTGGCATTATGCCTCTTTCTAATATATGTGTGCACACAAATTAACACTCCCCTAAGAAACATTTATATAACAATAATTCATGTTTAGAAACCTTTTAAAAGGCTATGTAAACTATATATCTAGACAAACTATTTAATCAGCCAACCAAATGTTATCTTTACTTCTATTTTTTTAAAAAAAAATTTTAGTGATTTTTAGAGAAAGAGGAATGGAGAGGCAAAGAGAGAAATATCAATAGGAGAATAAAACATCAATCAGCTGCCTCCTACACGCTCCCTACTGAGGACTGTGGCCCGCAACCTGGGCATGTGCCCCGACCAGGAATCATACAGGCAACTTTCAGTGCACAGGATGACACCCAACCAACTGAGCCACACCAGACAGGGCTCTTCACTTCCATTTTGACTGTGGGCTGGATAGCACAAAGACGACATATATTCAATAGAAAACAACCAAGCACAACTGCCTACTACTGTGTACGTTAGTACAATCTGAGTGATCAAAGTCCTCTAAGAATGTCTTGCAAAAGCATATTTTATCTCATTGGCTACCCATCTGCTTGTTTAATGGTAAAATGTTAATGTAAGTCCAAGGGCCCAAGGATAGCACCGAGCATGGGAGACCTATTATTCTAAACCACTAAGGTCAGGCTGGCCTGTTTTCAATTCAACCTGGAAAAGTCAAATCCCGTTCTCTCAAGAAAAGAAAAACGGCCCCACAATTTCACAATCTGGCTCTCCCCATTCTTAGGGCTTGGAAAGAGGCATCAGGACTAATCATGGAACATTCAACTCCAGGTTGTCATGACCTGGCTCTCCCCAGTGTGATTCCTGGATTGCAGACTAAGTCCTCTATAGTTTTTAAAGTCTCGGGAAAAATAAAACGGTAAAAACACCCACAGATAATTCTCAATTTTGAGTGTTTTAGTCTTTCGTTAGTCTGAAGACAATCATGAAGATATTTCATCAGCAAAAATGTATCGATCATTTTATCATCTACTGTTTCATAGGTATATGGTACATAAATAAAACCATGGTTTCTACCCTTAGGAACATTTGGTGTTATAGAAGTTAAATAAGGAATTATATAGTCTAAAGCAGTACAAATGCCAACAAAAATAAAGGCGAGGGAATAGAAAGATAAAAGTTGATTTACTTTGATTGTTTAGGTTTGATATTCCCTTGATTCATCTGAATTTGTTGATGTCCCCATGTGTGGGGATTTTTAAGAAAAATGTAAATTTTTCTTAAGTTGTGTTAATACAATTGCCCTGTAGAATTAATTGTATGATTTGTTAATTTAGTCAGCAAGAGTTCAAGTTTCTATATACATCAGACAACAGATTGGGTATGTGGTATGTAGCAGCGAATTAAACAGGCAGGAATTCCTGTTTTTGCAAGGTTTACACTCGAGCGAATTCAGGTTTCAAACAGTCTTCTCTTGGGATAGACTGCCCCCACTCTTAGAAGATTCCCAGCCCCACAGAAACGTATCTCAGAACCCCCTCCTGCACTCTTCATGACCATGAAGAAATAAATGCAAGGACTAAGGTGGGAATAATGTATCCACAAGCCACCTCTAAACTGCTGTCTCTGCTTTATAATCACATGGCAGATTTCCAGAGGCAGCCGGGACAAAACCATACATATTAAGGACTGTAAAGTAGGGTTTCTTGGGCTGCGCTAGAAACCCCCAAACTCTTTCTATGACTGTTTCTATGGGAAAGGCCACCCAAGTTCTAAACAGCTGGCTTAGTACACGCACTGCTGAAGCACACTCTGTAAGCTGTCGACAGCCTGTGCTCAGGCAACTAACTGCGAGCTCAAATAGCTAAAAACGATCTGGCACCCACACAGAAGCTCCTGCACACACATTTTACTTTATAGTTGGAGCCTTTCCATGACACTCGCTAAGGCATAATTATTACGAATGTCAGCCTCGAGGAGTAGCCTTGGAGGCCCTTCCACCAGCTGGAATCGGGACACATACCAGGCTTTAGCTACACGTCTGCCCAGGCTGGTGGCAGACAACTGAATGCAGGCTTCTGAGCAGCCCCTGAGGCAAGGTGTTTATATTTCATCGCAATCCCTAGTTGCACTTCGTTTCTTCCACATGCAAATCAAAATGCCTCCATTTTCAGCTGCCAGAACAGCTGATTATCGTCACCATTGGAAACAGTAAATGCTTCTCTCAATGAAGGGACTGCTCTTTAGAAATTCCTGCGCACCTCGGGGCAAAGAAAGAAAATGTCCTTGACAGTGCATCGTGGCTACGGGATGAACACACTGATCACACACGTGTCTTTTCACAGCTGAGAACAACTCCAGGCCTGGGTGCCCAGAAAATTCTCAGGGTTTGGAAAGAGGCAGCAGGACAAACCACAGAACATTCAACTCCAAAGTCCCTCTCACCGCCATCAACCAAGGTGATCTTGGGTAAAACATGTCCATGTTCCAGTTCCTTCTTGGTCCTGTTCTCTCCCTGGGATGGCTTCCTTGATCTCAATCCAAGTCTCAGCTTCTTATAAAATGCTGTTCTATGAAGCCTTCCCAGATTCCCTTAAGCCAGTGGTTCTCAACCTTCTGGCCTTTTAAATACAGTTCCTCATGTTGTGACCCCCAACATAAAATTATTTTTGTTGCTACTTCATAACTGTAATTTCACGACCCACAGGTTGAGAACTGCTGCCTTAAGCCAAATCAGCTTCTTTCTTACTCATATCCCCACTCCAGCAGTCCATATCCGTTATAACATTTATCACGTGGTATTATTGTTGCATATTTATTATTCTATTTATTTTAGTTTATCATGTTATTTTATGGTCCTCTTAGGGTATCAGGCAATATGTTATCATGCCTACTTCTAATATTAATAATATCATAGTAATATTATGAGTGTTTACTACTTGTCAGACTATGTGAATACAATCTCCAATTGTTACAAGAGCCCTGTGAGATGGACATTATCATTCTTCCCACTTTTTTCTATACTTGAAAAATGTAAAACCAAGAGAGATTATATAAATGGTTAGTCATGGCACTGAGAGTCAAAATAAAGTCTATTTTTCCTTAAAACTTATGCTTTTTACCACTACCCTAAAATGCTACCTATAAATAATAGTAGATGGTATTTACTAAGTGCTTACTAGATGTCAGGCTCTGTACCAGGTGCTCTCCATACATTAGCTAATGTGATCCTCACAAAAACCCTGTAATGTAGATATCGTAGTTATAATCTCAATTTTACAAAAACGAAATTAAGGTTCAGAATGGTTAAATGACTTGCCCAAGGTCACAGAACTATGAAGAATGGATATAAATGTAGGTCAATCTCCCCTTACCCAATACTCTATTCCATGACCAGATGGTAGATTTTCTTTCATCTTTGCAAACACTGCACAGGTTTTCAAGAATAACCTGTCTGGAAAATGAAAACTGGACTGTGACCCAGTTTTCTGACTCACACAAATAAGCCAAACCTATCAAGCCCCTAAGCACTCACCTTAGCACGTGTGTGGACCCATTAATGGTTGTGGTTGAACAGGGGACAGTCTGGCCCAGAATGGAAGGTCTTCGGTAACGCTCATCATCACAGCAGAGGATGATGAGAAAGGCACGTCGAAAAGACTTATTCAAGAAAGCGTAGAGGAAGGGGTTCAATCCAGAATTGATATAGCCGAGCCAGAGGAAAGCTGTCCACACCTGCCCAGGGACCGTGTAGTCTACGAACGGATCCACAATATTGGTGACAAAGAATGGGGCCCAGCAGAGGCAGAAGCAACCCATGATGATGCACAGGGTCTTGGCTGCTTTGGTCTCTGTCCTCATGCGATGAGTGCTATGCTGGTCTGTCGGCTGGGGCCTGCCCTCCGAGGGGGCTCCTGCCCGTTGTAACATCTGGATCTGGTGGGCGTGCTCCTTGGCTGTGACATAGATGCGGTAATAGGCCAGCACCATGAGGAGAAACGGGATGTAGAAGGCTACCACGGAACAAGTGATGGCGTAGGGCTTGTTGACCATGAAGATACAGTACGTGGAGTTAGAGTTCTGAGGGAACTTCCTTTTTTCTATCTGAGAGGTGGAGGGAGAGAGAAAGGGAAGAAAAAAGTGAAGGGGAAAAAGTAGGAGGGGAATGAGGAAAATTGTAAGAAAAGAAAAAGGAGGAAAAAGAAGAGAAAAGGAGAATATGAAGGTAGAAAGAAGGGGAGGGGAACAGGGAAGGAAAGAGAGGAAAGAATAAATGAATTAAGGAAAAAGGAAAGAAAAGGTTTATCAGCACAGCTTTCTTCTTTTTTAAAAAAATAAACCTACAACCCTGATGGTAGAGAAAGAATATGACCAGATCCCAGGGCTCAGAGGACTTATTTATCCAAGAGGGGCTGAAACCCCAGTAAAGAGTAGAAATAAAATAGGGACAAAAATCACTCTTCATTCTATCTACCCAGCCAATAGTGGAGCCCTGCCTGTCCTCCCGTCTTGTATGCTTGCACACAGTAGATTTGGTAGTAAAAGTCTTCAAACTGTGACTCATCTTCTTCAAGACTGTGTTGGCTGTTCTTATAATCTCAACAATCCCCATATGAAATTGATCATTAGCTTATCAACTTCTATAAATATCTTTAAGGATTTCAATTGGAGTTAAAACAGAATGATTGAGGAAAACGGATATCTCTACGATGTTAAGTCTTCCCATTCACAAACATGATAATCCTTGCCCTTTATGGAAGTCTTTAAAATTTCATTTTAGTATTATTTAATATGTTTTGTGTAAATGTCCTGTGCATCTTTTGTTAGGTTTGTTCCTGAGTATTTGACTTTTTATCCTATTGCAAATGGTACCATGTTAAAATTATAAACCCTAATTATTTGTTGCCAGGAGGTAGAATTCAATGATTTTTTTTTGTATATTGACTATGTAGCCAACAACTTTGTTTAATGAATTACTAATATCTCATCTCTAGATTCTTTTGGGTTTTCTCCATGCACACTCATGTGATCTGTAACTAATGACAATTTCCGTTCTTCCTTCCTATTATTAATAACATCTTTTCTTGCATTATTAAACTTGACAAGTCCTCCAGTAAAATTCTGAATAAAAGTGGTAAGAGTGGACACCACTTTTACATTCCTAGTTTTTGGAAGGGAGCTATCGATATTTTACTATTAAGTGTGATACCTTTAAGTTTTTTGTAAATGCTTTTTATTTGATTGAGAAAGTTGAATTTTATGAATTTTAACAAGTCATAAATGGATATTGAATTTTGTCAGTGCATTTTTTGCAACAATGAGATGATCATGTGGGTTTTCCCTAATACAGTGAATTACATTGATTGCATTGCATTCCTCACTTGCATTGGATGCTGTGGTACACTAGATCCCTTTTGCAGGACTGAAGGTCTTTACTCCCAATTATGAATTCTGCAGGCTGAGCTCTTAATTATCAGCCTTCTCTGGGAAGAGCCCTTGGCTAAAGAGAGCTGTGTAACAAAATGACACTTCTGTACCTGAGGCCAGCCTGCATCCAGTGTGAATATTACACATAAATGAAGATAGGAATAAAAAATATATACAACACACAGATGTTATTACTTGTGTGACTTAGTATCTTGTCCTATAGTCTATTATAGGGTTATAGTATATCTTTCTATTGAATTGACATTTTATGATTATGAAATATCTCATTTTATCTCAAATAATTTAACTTGCCTTAAAATTATTTTATCACTGATAACAGTATAGTTATACCAGCTTTCTTTTGGTTAGTGTTTGTATACAATATTTTTCCATTATTTTATTTTCAATGTTTCTGTCATCTTATATTTCATGGGCCTCTCTTACATGCAGCATATATTATATATTGATTGGTTGGTGAAAATATTGTGACCAGAGACTTGGAGAAAACTAACCTTGTATTTCTCCAAGGAGCAAAGATTTAGTATTTGCTAATTCAGTGTCTGTGGCAAATAATTACTGCAAATAACGAACATCAACTGTATATGTATTGTGAACACATGGGTTCTGCTAGCTTTTCTCTGGGCAGATTCAATGTGCGAATGAGTGGAAAGCTATAAAATGCAGTCACAACATCATGGAGCAAATACTAGGCATGTTGACACTGAGATGCCACACCTTCAGTTCCACAAAGTAAATAGGGGATGCCTCACTCATAAATGGGCAAAAATCCCCTAGGTTATTTCCCTTAAAAGTCTACATATGACTGTGCCCTTATTAAAAGTTCTGATGCACAAAAGCTTATGCTTCCACAGGTTTTATCCATTAAGGAGTAAGTTAGTACAGACAGGAGGAGCACATACACTGGTTCCCAGTAAGCTTGGGCTTAGATATAGTGACCACCCCTCTCAACCAATGTAACTTTAGCTAATAACTTCACCTCTCCAATCCTCATTTCCTGAAGATAATAATAGGATATACATAGCCTTGTTGTGGGGCCTCAGTGAGGTTCATAAGAATAGGGACACTATTAACATGGGGCTCGGTGCACAAGAAGTGTTCATTTGTTGGCCATTATTATATTGGTTGTTGGAAACTTGAATTTCATTTCTTCCCAAGAATAGTAAAACTGAAAGTTTGAAAGAAGAGGGATAGAATTCAAGAAAATATCCATACAGTCTCCCTTGTATGGGTCCCCTTTTACTTCTCCACTCCTCTGTCCCCAGCATTGCTCTCAGAAGCCCTGGGAACTCTTGTTCTGACATACCACATGCAAATCCTCGCCCAGCCTTGGTTTGGATATTCCTTCCTGGACAAAGAACAAGGCAAGATTAGGGGCTAGAAATGGGGTGAAGAGAAGAAGGGGCAGCTCCTATTCTAACTGGTTCTGTTGGCCAGAGCTTGCTCTCAATCTCTCCTCTCCATTCCCCTTCCTACCATGAGATGGTCCTGGGATCAACTTTACAGTGACAACCTGACTGCTTCCTTAGGGAATGTATACCCCTGGTAATGAATCCAGACCATAGCTTTTAGTCACAAATTTAGTATTGCAAAGATAGTATGTCAGAGCTGGATGACTCTCAAAGACCACCTAGACTGGGGTTGGTAAATGCCTGACACGTGTGCCATCATGTTATTCCTCTAAACCCTGGAAGACACTATTCTCCACTGGGGACCAGTGGATCACAGCCTTGAAGGAAGTGGGTCAGTGAGAGCGCTGACTTGGGGTTCAGCTCTCAACTCCTGTCCAGGGCTCTCGTTGCTCTCCAAAAGCTTCGACTCACATGACAGGTTTTCTGTGGATCACTGAAAGCCTCAAAGACTGCCAGCATGAAATAGGATGAAGACCTCTCGGGGCACTGGAGTCAGAATGCTAAGCTTCAGACACCTGTTCTGCTATTTAGTAGACATATTAGTGGGCCTGTTACTTCACCTTTCTGAGTCTGACTTTTCTCATCTAAATGAGATCAGCAAAGGATGCTATCAGGCGTATAGGTAAAGTATTTCACATACTTTATGGCATACAGTAAGCATTCAAAAATGCTAGCTTGCTTTTTTGTTGTTGTTATTCTTGTCATGGCGCAGACCACTGTCAGAATCTTTCTCAGAATATCCACCCAACTTGATACTGTTTGTTTATGTAGAATCCCAAGCAAACAAAGGGAATCGGCCAGTGGGATCTGCATGGGGTCTACTCACCAAATCAATTATGCCAATGTTGTTCCAGCCTTGCATTATAGGAAGAAAAGAGATAAACATGGGGATGACCCAGCAGCCTCCCAGCATTAACGCGATGCGCAGAGGGGTCATCTTGTTCCTATAGACCAAAGGCTGGCAGCAGATGGCATAATACCTGGAGAGAGAATGGGGAGAGGGGTGCCAAGGGAGAGGAAGAAAGAGGGAGAAGGAGGGAGAATAATTGATGGGAGAGGAAGAGGGAGAAGAAGGGAGATATGAAAAGGAAATATTGGGAAAGAGAAAAATTGGAGGGGAAAGTTGAAAATAAAAATAAGAAAGAAAGAATAGAAAAAATAATGGGGGAGAAGGGGGAGAATGGGTAGCAGAGGAAGGGAAGGAGGAGGGGAGAGAAAAGAGAAAATAACAGAGGGAAGAAAACAGCAATTATACAATAAAATATGTTATATTGGCCAATGAGTTTCTGCTAATACAAATATCAACTTTCGATCACATCCCAGAATCATTTCCTAGAGCCAGCTCCATATCCCTCTTCCACTGCTAATGCCTGCACAGCTGAGGGTCTGCCCTGTCTCAGACACAGCTCCAACAGTACTCTCATGCCTGGGCATTTGAGGAACTTCAGTCCAGCCCTCTGGGCTTCAATGTCCTGGCATCTGTGATCCTCTTTGATAACAACTTGAGGTGACTCACACGTGGCCCGACATCTGAGCTCTAAGAACTGTCCAGATCTGTCACCATTCTCTTGATCACCTGCCTATACTAAAGTGATGCTAAGTCAATGTTCCTTACATTGTGGTCCAGGGATTCCACCCTGTTCCCCTGCATGAGATTCACCTGAGGAGGCCTATTTAAAATGCAGATGCCAAGGATCTCCTGAGGAAGGACCTGGAGTTGGCATTTTGACAAGAGGAAGTCATTACTGCTGTTCGCTAAGTATGCCCAGCCCCTCTTTCTGGGCACATGCGCTTCCTGGCCTCCTGTGGTTGGGTAGGGCCAAGTGACTGGTCTGGTCAATGAGTTGTGAACAGAGTTGACACGTGTTACTTCTGGGCTGGACTATTTCATTGTTTCTCTAAGAATGCAAAATTTCAACTATTTCCTGTTTCATCATTTCCTGCCTATAGATAGAGACCACCTCACCCGCTTTATCAGGTCTTCTCTTCCTCACAGGGCTCACTGCTCATCTTTCTTTGAGTCTGTGTTCTGCCTATGATACTGGCTTTCTTCTTACCTCCACATAGAGATGCAACCTGCCCCACTCAATGATCAAGTTTCTAACTCCAAGACTGTTCCTTGCATGCCATTCCAACCTTAGAGATCACCACTTCCATGTCCAGGCAGTTCATGGAATTTGACAACAGGCAAAACATCACAGTAGATCTATCAGCTATTTGTCTTTGCAAGAATCTAAAGTGCAAAAAGACAGCCTGAAGGCTAAGTCTCCTCTTTGAGATTTTATACCATTTAATGATGAGCCACCCCCCAACCCCCCTCATTTCATGTAGTTCACCTTGTTAATTTTCCCCACCTCTTCTTTTCTTAATTCAAAGCATAACTAATATAGCAATGGCAGTATTTTTGAAGAGGTGGGGGTGGGAGGAGTTGGAGAGGGTGGAATGAGAAGGAGAGGCCAATGTTAAAGCATGATTAGTGGGTGCTTTGGGAGATGGGGGGCGGGGATTATACTTTTCCTTCTAAGGCATCAGGGAGCAGCTGGCCGCACTATGCTTCCTGTGGCCAGAGAGACAGTGGTGTCTTGACTTGCAACAGAGTGCAAGGAACAAGAGCCCGGAGAATGGAAGAGGGGATTAGCCAGGAACTCTTTTTTTCTTTTTCTTTAAAAAAAAATTTTTTTTTATTGATTTCAGAGAGGAAGGGAGAGGGAGAGAGAGATACAAACATCAATGGTGAGAATCATTGATCGGCTGCCTCCTGCACGTCCCACACTGGGGATCAAGCCCACAACCTGGGCATGTGCCCTGACCGGGATTCAAACCATGACCTCCTGGTTCATAGGTTGACGCTCAACCACTGAGCCACACCAGCTGGGCAGGAACTCATTTTATTTCTGTGTGTGAAACTGACATGGTAGCCAACTCTAACTAAATATAACTTGGTAATAGAAGAATGATGATTATCTGGAATTCCCTCCATGCTCTTGACGTATAAGAAAAGCACGTTATATCAGAGTGGCAATTTTATTTTCTAACATAGAGATGGTGAATTAGGTGTGTATGAAAATATATTTTTTTCCAAATTTTGCTCCCTCCCTCATTTCCTGCTAGAGGACCTAGATTAGATATTTTGTTGTGTCCATTTAGCATCCTTCTTCTTTTTTCTTGGTAATAGCATCCCATGTCTTTGGGGAATTATCTCTTGTCTGTTGATGGGGTGTTGGGAAAGCAAATTATCGGATTCTGACATCTCCAGCCAAGGAGTCACCCAATCAGTGTCTCCTGGGATTCTAGACGTCATGCAGAGTGACGCAAAGATGGGACAGTCAGGGACGGTACCCTATTCCCGCAGCAAGTTCCTGGAGGGGCTGAGATTAGCTCCTTTCCCTGGGTCTTTGGGAAGCCATGCTCTTGCCCCTTCCGTTCTTCATTGTGTAACTCTTCCTTTAATTTAATAAGCCACCTTATATGTTGCCAATAAATGCTCTTTTTGCTTGAGTTGCTGTTATGGGTTGAACTGTGTCCCCTTCCTCCAAGAGAAATGTTAAAGCTCTAAACCTCAGTAGCTTGGAATGTGACCTTATTTGGCAGTGGGGTATATATAGAGCTAAGCAAATTAAAATGAGGTCATTGGAGTGGCCTTCATCTAAAATGACTGATAATCCTCATAAAAAGGGAATTTTGCACACAAAGACAGACATGCACAAAGAGAAGATGGCCACGTGAGGACAGAGGATTGGAATGATGCATCTACGGGCCAAGGAATAGCAAAGATTGTGAGAAAATAACCTGATGCTAGGAAGGGTTCAAGATTATTCCCAAGGTCTTGGTACCCTGAGGCAGCTGCCCTATTATCTTTCCTCATATCTTTTTAATCTTTGCTTTATAACAAAGAATTTAGAAAAATAAACATCTTTTTGAAGGCTGTATTCAAGAATCTAAATCAAGTAGATGAAAATAAATATTACTGAATAAAATGATTAATAAAAACTGAATTCCAGTGCTAACTGACTAATGACGCTTCCTTCCAAATTCTAACTTTTGTCTGTAAATCAAGGACTAGCTAAAAATCTGATCATTTGATTTTTATCTATTATGGTTGCTTTTTAGTTCCTATAATTGGATTATATTCCCCCTGCTAGTAAGAAAAATATTTTTCCTACCATGAATTGCCCCCCAAAAAACATGCATAATACCATTAGACAGAAGTAGCTAGTGAAAACTTGTATGCATATATATGCATAACTCATACACACAGACAATAGGGTGGTGAAGGCCTGGGGTGGGGTGAGGGCAGACTAGAAGGGGTCAATGGGGAAAAAAAGGGGGACATATGTAATACTTTCAACAATAAAGATTTTTAAAAAATTTTGCAAGTTCTTTGGAGGTCAGGCAAAACAACCTGGCTGAGTTAATAATAAAAGGTTCTATCCATATACTTAATAAGGACTCTACCTGTATTGTCTCAATAAGTCCTCACAACTACTTTTGAGATAGGAACTACAAATGTACCCATTTCACAGGTGAGCAAAAAGAAAAACAGAAGTTTCAGGATTTGTCTAAGGTCCCACAGGTGGTAAAAACCAGATCTAGCCCAGGCAGCCTGACTCAAGGGCTAGGACAGTGATGGCAAACCTTTTGAAAAAAGGTCAGCATTTTGAAAAACCCTAACTTAACTCTGGTGCTGTGTCACATATAGAAATTTTTTGATATTTGCAACCATAGTAAAACAAAGACTTATATTTTTGATATTTATTTTATATATTTAAATGCCATTTAACAAAGGAAAATCAACCGAAATAATGAGTTCGCGTGTCACCTCTGACATGCGTGTCATGGGTTCGCCATCACTGGGCTAGGATGTTACCCTCATTACTATTACTTCACTACCTCCCCTAAATCCCCAAGGGATTATTCTATATCTTTACAAGCCACTTTAGGAACAATCAAAACATATAAACACTAAATCTCAGAATACTGAAATCCCCAGTCCTGTCCACAATGAAGTGTAGCCAAGCCTACATGAATGCACCAAGGACTGGAATTCACCATTCTACCATAGTACATTGGGAACTTAAGGCGATCCTGAAATTAAGACTGTTTCTTCCAAGACTGCTTTCTGTAATTTCCAGTTTTACCCTCTGGCTACATTTAAAACTTCTATCTCTATTCTTTTTCTGTATAGTGGTCCTATGGACATCTGAAGAGGGCTTTTATATTTTTCTGAAGCCTCACTTTTTATAGGTAGAAACATCCCCAGTTATATTCAACCAGGGTTGATTTTGCTTGCCAAGGGATACTGGGCCATGTCTCGAGATATTTATTGTTGTTGCAACTGGGAAGGGTGACGGTCCTGGCATCCAGTGGGCAGAGGCCCAGGAGGCTGTTAGATGCACAGGACTGCCCCCCGCTCCCCCACCCCAACAAAAAAATCAACTGGTCTACAACGTCAGTAGTGCTGAAGCTGAGAAACCCTGGTCAAGAGGAGGTGATTTTTGCCAATGGCAGGGCTCCATGTCCTCTGCATGTGCTGTGGTGAGCCATTATCTCTTAAGAGTGGGTGCCATGATACTCTGATGTACCCTATACAAATGGGAGAAGACTAGTACATCTCCTTCCACCCTGCCCACCACAACTTAACACAGACAGGGGACACCCAGGAGTCCAAGACACCTGCACTCCTTCTAAGAGCAGGGTGCGAGGTGAGAAAGTCTTCCCCTAACTGATTTATAAAGTCCAGAGATGTTTGTCTCACTCATCCCTGTATCCCCAATGCTTAGTGCAAAGCTAGAGACAGAGTACATACTCACAAAATGGGTTGAATAAGAATAAGCCCATAATCACGACCAATTAAAATCAATTACACTGAATGTGGGACCATGTTTTGGGGATGTGAAAGGTCATATCTAATAGAGCAATGGGGAGGCTTTCTTTAGTAGGTATCTTTTAAGTAGGACTTTAGAGACTAGGTAAGAGTGGT